TTGGATCTACCAACCGGCTTTAGTCCCGATTGGATCTACCAACCGGGACTAAAGGTTTCTCTAGTCCCGGACGCGAAAAATATCGAAACTAAAGTCAAATTTCGAAGTGGATCAAAAATCGTTTCTCTACTGGTGTGTAGTGTGAGTGGATAAAATAAATATGTGTGATGTGTCCAAGGATCCAACGGTACGATCATTATAGTTAAGAAAAATATAATGGCTATTATTATGATATATCTCATATTAGTGTCCGTATGTTCTTTTTATAATTTGAATCCTATAATCCTCTTAATGAAACACATGTTGTAAAGCATGTTCATGAAAAAAGAAATATATCCACGTATTTCATTAACACGAGGGACTACGCATCCTAATTTTCGTATTCATATAGCATATTAATGTAAAGTTACGCTGAAGTGGCGCATCCCCCTCATTTCTGCTCTAGCTCCGCCCCAGCACACATTTTAACCAGAAGAATGACAACCGTTGCGCAGATAATTTAGGGATACTAATGTCTAGTAACAAAATGCAATGAGTGAGGAAAGACACGCTACCTCCATCATACGATATACATAGCCTCTTGTTCTTCGCGGCTTGGCGTTGATCTTGCGGCGTGTCATCGCCCTCCATTCTTCTTCAGTCCTGTCGGCGAAAAGGTTTGGGAGGTGTGGACTTGGACTGGACTTTTCTGCTCCTGCATACACGGACTCTACACGCTTCAGAGTTTCCTTGAAGATCTCAAGTCTCTTGGCGTTCTCCTCCTCGCTCGGGTATGTCCTGTCAAGTGTCAACCACTTCATCCACGCATGGAACATCGCTTCCATTGCCTGTTAGTTATCTCCTGCCTGGGATTGTCGTCGGTCACCTCGGGCTTCTTGCCAGGAACATTCGTCTCGGTGTCCTCGTCGGCCACATCGCCGTTTACATACAGGTGCCAATCCATGCGTAGGTTAGTGTTGACACTCAAAAATGTAATTAGGCGTGAGCAGTTAGGTTCATGTATGGCTAGGTCACACATCCAACAAAGCAAATGACCACAAATCCAAAATCAATTTCAACTCATACCTGCGTGGTGGTCATCTGCATGTTTCTTGCCTAGAGTTTTCTAGTACAAACTTCTCTTTCAATTTTTTTGGTGGTTGGGCTCTGAGACAGAACGCTGTTCAATGTAGTAGGATAGCAGTACTCTTAACTGTCTCTTCTTGTGCTGTCCTTTGTGCTGTCCTAAAACTCCAGTATTTCTGTTTGATGAATGAATGAAAATGGGACTTGACCTCGTGAGGAAGAAGGGAAAGAAAAAAAAAACGCGGCCGCGGCACCATAGGCGCGACCAGACGAGGTATCTCTCTATTTCCATACGCTGAGAAACGAGAGCCGCCAGTGACGACGAAATTTTCGGGTAGGAACGGGAGCGGGACTCACGACAATGTGGGGATCTGAGATTTTGTAGGAACGGGAGCGGGACTCACGACAGTGTGGAGAGAGCGTAGTGGCCAGCCGGACGCCGCCGACACTGAGGCCGCCTGGGAGGCGATCCTTGGAGAGGTCTCCGCCTGCGCGTGGCAGATCTCGCGTGGTAAGAACCTCCGGGTGAGGAGGGAACCGAGGGACCGGAGGGACATGAGCTCGATCACTGCGCCGCCGCCGGCTCGACTTCCTCTTCGCTCTCGTCTCGCCGACGGATTTCGCTGTTGATGACTTGATGTGCACGGCTGCACGCGTGGGCCTTTGGGCTTTGGGTCACCGCATGTCATCGAACGGCTTGAAGAGGTCGACCCATCCAACGGCCCTGAAATCGAGCAGCCCAGTCTGCGATTGAAAGAAAGGAGGAATTCCAGAACGGCCTCTGTTTGGCGCCGAGGGCCTAACTACCTCAACGAACTCGTTCCTCCCACCTCGCTCCGCCCCCCGCAGTGCAGGCATCTGACGCCGTCATTCGATGGATCACTGGCGAGCTCTAAAGGATTATATGTTTGCTTTGATTTGGTCTACTACATTCCGTGGTACGTAGTAGTAGACCAAAAGAGCTGCTTATGCATACATACACAAGAATGGCAAAATATTTAGTGCAAACCACATCTTCAGTGGCAAAAGAGCTGCTTATAAATCCTGAGCTTGTTATTTTCATATAAATTTTTGCAAAAGGAGTTTGAATCTCAAATTTTGTGATAGTGCACATCTATAGATGCACTATTGGTGTGCAAAGTTTCAAGTTTTTTAGAAACTCCTAAGTATGGTTTTGCAAAGGGTTTTCACGATTGCACCGAAGATGCTGTTTGTACTGAATATTTTGCCAGTAAGATCGATGGTTTGAGGTGGAAAGAGAAAGAACACCGGGGAAAATTTTGTGAGGAGACAGGGTCTCTAGGCAGTTTAATAGATATATTTCTCCACCCAAAACCAAACCAATTACATTTTGCACCACAGGGTCCCCTTGAGACCTGCAAAACCCTGAAAAGCTCCATCTAGTTTATGAGAACAAAACTAATCCTCCATTGACCAGAACTTCTCCAAAAGGGGATCATCTATAAACTGTAAACCCTGAAACTCTGTATCTAATTGCTGAGGATCAAACCAATCGTCCATGGATACAACTCCCACAGGAAGGGGTTCATCATCTCAACATCCACGGGACTGCAGTGGTCGGGTTCATAAACTTTTTTATATGACTTTGAACAAAGACAAAATTTATACAAAAAATGGAGATCTGATTGCATCTACAATCATGTAATCAATATTTTTTTACGATTAAAGCCATTCTGGTGCTGAAATAACGATACAGGGTTTCTATAATCAAATACAGATCTAAATAATGTACCAATATATTTGTATTAAGAAAGTTTCAATCGAAAAAGAGTGATTGATATAGTTATATAACTCGTGTCGAGATCTGTAATTTCCATATAAGTCTTTTATCTATCTGAACTCATGAGAAAAAGTTTATTTTTCAAGATGCGCTGTGTAGAAAAGGGCATTTGAAATGCTTAGATTTAAATCTCGCCAATTCAGTTGGTGAAAATAGTACATTTCTAAAAAAAACATTCGGACAATGATTTTTTCAAAACACAGATCAATTTATTTAAAAAAAAAACATCATCCGTCTTGGTCACTAGTGCAATCTTGTCGTCAGACCAGCACAGACGGTTCCTAAACCTCCATTGCGATCTAACGGTTTCTAGACTTCTCTCTATGGATGTTAAATTGGTCGGATATAGTGCAGGTGCAGCAAACACACTCTCGAGATAAGCAGGGACGCATCTAGCAGTGGGCGCGAGGGGGGCTCAAGCCCCCCTACCGCCGCTGATCTCATGACGCCCTCCTAGAGCCCATATAGGAATTTTTGTCATAGCTGCTTTGAGGAGGAGAGGCTAGAGGTTCAAGATAATGAGTTCAGCCTCCCCTGAACTTTCATCCTAGATCCGTCACTCAGGTAAGACTTGCAACATTTTGTCACGGTGGTCCTCACATCACCCTGCGGATGAAAGTTTACATAGACGCCGAAGCCCACAGGTGAGGAACCAGGTGTGTAAAAAGTATAGGTAATATATCGTCATGGTTACATTAATAAGTATAGAAATATGACAAGAAGTAATTATTTCTCATCTCTGGGTCACACGTAGTCATGTAACACATAGGTAGCAAGTAATTATACAAGTTCTTAATAAAATGAATTGAAAATCTAAGGCCTAGTTACCAAGCATATTGTTGGTAATTGGACTTGTGATACTTGGTTACCTAGGGTGACACTTATGGCCCCGTTCGCTGGTCTGAAACTTGGCTAAAAAACACTGTTCTGGCTGGTTTGTTGTGAAAGAAAAACACTGTTCGGCTGGTTTGGTGAACAGTAACTTGTGAGGGGGATCAGCCGGCTGGCTGGACGAGTCCAGACCAGCGAACACCACCTATATGTCAGTCCCCTATAGGCATCCACGGCGCTATTTAACACCTGCATTGACCCCTCATTCATCTCGGACCCCAACCTGATGAGATCCATTGGTGCGATTTAGCATCCGTGCTCTCACCCTAGCGGGTGTGACGTCCACGAGTCCAACAGCCATCTCTACTACATGTCCTAGGGTGTCATGTTGCCTCCATTCTAAATTATAAGTTGCTTAGTTTTTCTAGATACATAATTTTTACTACGTATCTAGATATCCGTTATGTATCCGTTATGTCTAAATACATAATAAAACTATATCTCTAGAAAAGCTAGAACGATTTAAAGTTCAGAATGAAGAGAGTATGCTGAGCTTGTTATGTGATGCCATCTAAATTCTAAACCCATACATCTAGCCATCCAAACTTAGGCCCGTCTCTACATCCGCATTCAATTGAACCTCTAGGTCTACCTAGAGCTATTGAGGGCTTTTCCAACGCACCACCATGGACTACTGCCCCGGCCTCTCTGTCTGCTTCTCAAGTCCACATCACGGTGAGTAGTAGTCTCGCAGCATGGCAGAGCTTTTTGCAGAAGAGTCTATGGCTAATCTTTTTGAAACATCTTTTGGAGCACACGTTGCAGCGAGAAGGACGCTGCCTTTGTCCCTAAGAAAATAAAGTTGTTCACTTCTGTTAGACCGGAGGTCCCCTCGGAGTTTTGAGAGCTCTTTTTTTTTTCTACGATTAGTACTGCTGCTTTTGGCTGAGGCTAACACGTTGGTGAAGCCCCGAGCAGCCCGGCCCAAAACCAGTGTGCCACGCAACGCTGTGGGACCCGGTGATGGAGGATGATGGAGTCAGGCAGTGCAGTCGTCCGAGGTGGCAGCGGCGCACCTCCAGAATCCAGTGCCGCGCCCCGATTGGGCGGAGCCAAATCCAGAAATCTCCACCTCACATCCGCCGCTCCAATCGCCGCTCGCTTCTTCCCCGGCAACAAGAACACTTTGTGCTACAAATACGTCCACGTAACCCCTCTCCGAGCCTTAGCACCCCACGGTTTCAAAAAAGAAAAAGCTAGCTTAGCTTTGCTCGCCAGACAAACCGGAGCAGAGCTGCAGCAGATGGCGTCGACGATCATGGCCGCCACCTCCCGCGTCGTCGCGGCCAAGACGCCGTTCCTCGGCCAGGGCCGCGCTGCCGCCAATGCCAGCCCCCTCCGCGACGTCGCCGCCGCCGCCAGCGGCCGGATCACCATGGTACGTAACGTACGCCGAGGTGGTCCATGGCACGTTGTGTTTCAATCAATCCGGTAATCAACTGACGAGAGTGATTGCTCGCTTGGATTGCAGGGCAACGACCTGTGGTACGGCCCGGACCGTGTCAAGTACCTGGGCCCCTTCTCCGCGCAGACGCCGTCGTACCTCACCGGCGAGTTCCCCGGCGACTACGGGTGGGACACCGCCGGGCTGTCGGCGGACCCGGAGGCGTTCGCGCGGAACAGGGCGCTGGAGGTGATCCATGGGCGGTGGGCGATGCTGGGTGCGCTGGGCTGCATCACCCCGGAGGTCCTCGAGAAGTGGGTGCGCGTGGACTTCAAGGAGCCCGTGTGGTTCAAGGCCGGCGCGCAGATCTTCTCCGAGGGCGGGCTGGACTACCTCGGCAACCCCAACCTGGTGCACGCGCAGAGCATCCTCGCCGTGCTGGGGTTCCAGGTCATCCTCATGGGCCTGGTCGAGGGCTTCCGCATCAACGGCCTCGACGGCGTCGGCGAGGGCAACAACCTCTACCCCGGCGGCCAGTACTTCGACCCGCTGGGCCTCGCCGACGACCCCGTCACCTTCGCCGAGCTCAAGGTCAAGGAGATCAAGAACGGCCGCCTCGCCATGTTCTCTATGTTCGGCTTCTTCGTCCAGGCCATCGTCACCGGCAAGGGGCCCCTCGAGAACCTGCTCGACCACCTCGACGACCCCGTCGCCAACAACGCCTGGGTCTACGCCACCAAGTTCGCGCCAGGGTCTTAAGCTAGCCGGACACGGCGGCGTGCCGGGACATTGTAGACTACTCGTTTGTGTTGTAACATTACATTTGTACCATGAACGAATGCAAATATTCTTGTGCTCTCTCAGAACTCAGGAACGTACTGGACTAGTTTGGTCTTCCATTCCAATTCCATCCATGTTAACTGATTCGGTGTGTCCATATGTAGCTGTCTCTATTTTTTTTTTTTACAAACACAACTACACAAGCTGTCCAGAAGTAGTGCAGAATTTAGAGGCTGCTAATTACAATAGGCATATTTCCAAACTGTGTACTTAGGTATCCCTGTGTCATTTTCGCAAAAAAAAGGTATCCCTGTGTCAGATGCACATTTGGAGATTAAGGCTTTGAAAGCGGTCCCAAAGAAGCTGAGGAAAAGATTTCAACCTTGGAAGGGAAGAAAGATGACATCTGGTGGGAGATTGATATTAACAAAAACTTCCTTGAGTAGTTTGCCAATTTATACAATGGGGATATATCAGCTTCAGGAATGTGTTCACCAACAGATGGATTCTGTAAGGGCAAATTTCTTCTGGCAAGGGGCCAATGACAAATTTAAATATCATATGGTAAAATGGAGAAATCTGTGTTTACCTCATGAGGCACTTATTGGAAAATGGGGATGGAGAATGTTGCAGGCTGACAAAGGGTGTCAATGTTCTAGTCTGTTACAGGGCATACATCCTTTTCTACAATGTGGGAGGGAGACAGGTTCACAATTTTGGAAGGGTGTTTTGAAATCTAGAAATATCTTGAAATGGGGCTGTCATACTAAGGTGAATAACGACCGAAGCACTAGATTTTGGGAAGAGATATGGGTTGGAAATGTAAGGAAAATGGACCCTTGGCCCATTTAGTTTGGATTTTGGTGTTTGGTGATCAACACAACCAAGTTGGACTAATGTATTTGCAAGTGTATGTTTTGTAGTCCAATAGGTTGCATAGCGAACTTGGACCGAGAGTGGAACATGAAGAATTGATCAACACTTTGAGGAAGACACAAAGAGGATGTGTGATCAATCTAGAAGTGAAGCTAGGAGTCCAAGGCGCAAAGATTAAGAAGCACGGACCAAGACACGAACAAAGTTGAAGTCACCGAAACCGTGACAAAGATGTGATTGAATTAGAACTGTCTCGTGATTTTAGATCAGCTCAAATTGATATAGCACCAGTTCGGAGTTGTAGAGCTCTTCATTAGCTTTCCAAAAAGTCCAAGATCATCAAAATTGGAGTTTGGAACCAAAAGTTATGTCTAAAATATCAAGATCTTAACCGAACTTTTAGCAAACAGACTCCAAAGCAAAGCATTGCAAGTGATCCATGAAAATCAGTTTGGTTTTATAAAAGGAAGGACAATACAGGACTGTTTAGGATGGGCCTTTGAGTTCTTAGATCAATGCCACCACTCCAAAAGAGAAATCATTATTCTCAGGTTAGATTTTGAAAAGTCCTTTAATATGGTGGAGCACTCAGTTATTCTTGATATGCTTAGAGCTAAAGGTTTTCCTCCCAAATGGCTAAAATGGATCAGTGATATCCTCTCCCCGGTCATTTCCTCGGTGCTACTGAATAGGGTTGCTGGTAAAGAGTTCAAATGCAAAGAGAGGTCGGACAAGGGATCCCTTGTCCCTCTTCTTTTTGCAGATAGCAGCAGATCTTATGCAGAGTGTGATCAATCATGAGTATGGACAAGGAACTCTTACGCCTCGTTTCCCTCAAAATCAAGACACCCCTTTTCCAATAGTGTGCAATATGCAGATGACACCATCTTGATCATGCAAGGGTGTGAAGATCAATTGATGTATCTTAAGGAGATTACGCATAAGCTTACCATGTCCAGTGGGTTGACAGTTAATTACCACAAATCCTGTATAGTCCCCATCAACATTGATCAGGAAAAGGCCTCCTCCTTGCTAATGTTTTTGGCTGCCAACTGGGAACATTTCCTTTCACATACCTTGGACTCCCTATGGTCCTCACTAAACCTCAAGTCAAAGATTATGCCCCTTAATCTGTAGGATTGAAAGAAGGTTGTCTGCTAGTTCCCAATTTCTATCCTATGCTCGAAGGCTGCAGTTGGTGAACTCTGTTCTATCCTCACTTCCAACTTATTTCATGTGCTCATTAAAACTACCTGTCACAGTCATTGACATCATTGATAAGCATAGGAAGAATTGTCTCGGAGAGGAAGTGATTTTAGAAAGAAAGGATATAATTTACAAAGCATGGAATTTGGTTATGAAGCCTAAAGACATAGGTGGTCTTGGGATCATTAATTTAAGTCTTCAAAATGATGCACTGCTGCTCAAGCAGTTAGATAAATTCTATAGGAAAGAAAATACTCAATGGGTGAAACTCATATGGCAGAAGTATTACTATGAAGGTGTCCCTCATCTTAAAAAAAAAAGAAAAGGTTCATTTTGGTGGAAAGATATTTTAAGGCTTCATATTCAATATAGAGGAGTGGCTTTTCGGATTCCAAAAAAGAGGAGATCTTGATGACTTACGGTTTGATCTCCTTTTGGAGTAATTCATTCTCGTAAATATCCTCATTTGTTTGCGTTTGCCAAAGAACCCGATATATCGTTATGGAAGCTTAGAAATGTTAGAATATCTAGTTACTCATGTGAACACTCTACGGTTAGGCCCTTTCATGTGTGAATGCGGCCTTTGGTCCGCCCTTTGGGCCCCTATATACTTGTAATCCCTTTGGTACCTCAAATCAAGTATGCTAAGCCTGTTGGCTTAACCTTCTATCATGGTATCAGACGACTAATTGGTCCTGTGCCTGTTTCTCTCCCACCCAATCCCTCCTTCCGCTCCTTTCCGGCGCGTCGCCGCCTTCGCCCAGCGCGCGCCTCTTCAAGGCCCGCGCCCACCTTGACGGCCGCCGCGCGCCTCCCGACGCCGCCGTGCGCGTCTCGTCGGCTGCCGCGCCCATGGCTGCCCCTCCATCCGGCGACTCCAGCTCCGGCACCTCGACTGCCGCCGCCGCGGCCAAACTTCGTGACGAAGCCATCGCCACCGCCAAGACCCTAGAAGACGAGGCCGCTTCTCTGCGCACCTCCAACGCCGAGCGCAGTCAGCAACTCCAGGAGGAGGCGGACCTTCTCAAGTCCGCCGCCGCCGCCCAGGAACGCGTCCGCGCCGCCGCCGCCGCCCTCGATTCAGAGCGCGCGCAGGCCGACGCTCTGGAGCAGCAGGCCTCTGCCCTCCGGGATCGGCTCCACGCTAATCCCCTCCGCGACAACGACTCGCTCGACGACGACGATACGTGCTCCATCTCCTCTGAGGCCGCAGCCATCGCTCACCTGCATAGCCAAGCTGCCGCCGTACAGAACATCAAGAACTTGATCCCCATCGTTCTTGATCTGCAGTCCTCCAACTACTCCAAATGGCGTGGCTACGTCCTCCTCACCCTCGGCCGCTTCGCCCTGAAGGACCACGTCCTCAGCAACGTCACCCGCCCCCACGATGCGGCGTGGTCCCGCATGGACTGCATCGTCGTCTCGTGGATCTTCAACACCATCTCCCCCGACCTCCTCGACGTCGTTCACGAGCGCGACGGCATCACTGCTCGGGCGGCGTGGCTCGGCATCGAACAGCAATTCTTCAACAACCGCGAGTCCCGCGCCATGCTCCTCGACACCGAGTTCCGCACTCTCTGCCAGGGCGCCCTCTCCATCGACGAATACTGTCGCAAGATGAAGAGCATGGCGGATGCGCTTGCCGATCTTAGCGAGCCCATCCTAGACCGTACTCTGGTGCTAAACGTCCTGCGCGGACTCAATGAACGTTTCCAGTTCATGTCGCAGTTCGTCACTCGACAGAGACCCTTCCCCTCCTTCACTGACGTCCGCGCCGACCTCCGCCTGGCCGAGCTCAACATGGCGCCACCCTCAGCACCACCCTCAGCCCTCGTCGCCTCGTCGTCCAGCAGGCCGCCCACTCCTCCACCGCCCTCTGCACCCCCGCTCCCCCATCAGGCTGCCGGGGGGCAGCCATCTGGCAACAGCAACGGTCGCGGTCGGCGTCGCCGCGGCGGACGCGGCCAAGGCGGCACACAAGGCGGCTCACCAAGTGGCCAGCAGCCCCCTGGCGGTCAGCAGTGGCCCTCCATCCTCAACCCATGGACCGGGTCCATCCATATGTGGCCCGGGTCCACCCCTGGAGGTCCTCGCGGTCCACCGCCTCGCGTCGTCCCGCCTCCATCACCGCAGCAAGCCCTAGTGGCTGGTGTGACCCCGGGGTACTTCACTCCATCGCCGGTCCTCGGGGCATACTACCAGGCGCCCCAGCAGGCGCCCTCTCCTACTTGGTCGCCATGGACTATCGAGTCCCTCGCCAACGCCTTTAGTACAGTCGCCCTCACTCCGCCACCAAGCTCCTCGGACTGGGTCATCGACTCTGGTGCTTCCTCTCACATTGCCTCCAACCCTGGTATGGTCACAGCCTCGCCATCATCCTCTTTTCCTTCCTCCATTGTTGTTGGCAATGGTGCCACCCTTCCAGTGGTTGGCACTGGCTTCTCCATCCTTCCCGGCCTTTTTCGCCTCAACAATGTCCTTATAGCTCCTGACATTATTAAAAATCTTCTTTCTGTACGCAAGTTCACCACTGACAATTCTGTTTCAGTTGAATTTGACCCTCTTGGCGTTTCTGTGAAGGATCTCCACTCCAAGGACACCCTCCTTTGATGTAACAGCTCGGGACCTCTCTACACCTTGCAGCTGCCTACATCTTCCTCCAGTTCCTGCGCTTTTGTGGCTACTCCCTCCCTGACTACCTGGCATCGTCGCCTCGGACACCCTGGCAAGGCTGCCCTTCAGAGTCTTGCCCAATCCTCTTTGATCATCTGCAGCAAGCCTGACGACGACTCCCTCTGCCATGCGTGTCAACTTGGACGCCATGTTCGCTTACCTTTTACTAGTTCCTTGTCTAGAGCAGCTAAGATTTTTGATTTGGTACATTGTGATCTATGGAC